ACAAACACGATTTCTAGGGTTTTTGGACTTCAAGGGGGATCAAAGAGGCTGGGGAGAGGACATAATATTCTTTAAATAGGGCTCATTCTTCGGATTTAGGGTTTTCTCCACTCAGCACCTACTCGCCGAGTCCATCTTTGGACTCGCCGAGTAGGCCACTTGACTCGCGACCAAGTCGCGACCCTACTCGCCGAGTCCATCCATGGACTCGCCGAGTTGCCCTTCAAAATTTACATTTTTAGTCCTTCAACTCTACTCTTGCTATTCCGGGATGTTACATTTATGTACGCCATTGATGTTGTTATGGGTCGTGGACATGGGGGTGAGGGAGCTGAGGACCCACCTTTCCTAGGTGGTAGAGGTGCTAGTCATCATGATTAGGACCGTAAATCTTATTATGAAATTTTATTTTCTATTTTAATTGAGTTATTATAAATTAAATATTGTTTCTAATAATTCTTAATTATATTCGTAGTTGAGCAACATAGGAAAGTCCGAGAAAAAGCCAAAAATATTAAGCTTGAAAGAGCGCTCTTACATAATTAGGGCAAACCGATTTACATGGATTACAATAAGGATATGATATATGATCCCGTAGGAGAGCCAAAAGACATGTTTGCACAAGAAGTTAGGAAAATAATGTCGTGGATGGTCCCTTTTGATAAATGGACTTGGAAAAAATTTCCCCCTACAATAAAGGATACAATAAGATATCATTTTGGGGTAAATTTATTATATAAAAATATTTTATATGGTTAATTATGACTAGTATTTACTTGCTTAACTTTTTTTTGTAAACAAATTTTGATTTGGATCAGATATACCGGGATCCAGAAGTTTCTATGTTGTCAGAGAGTTTTAAAGCAGATTTTTTTTAAAGGTTATTGAGAGCGTAAAGCTGATGCAAAGAATATTTTTTGAAAGTTGGAGGATATGAGGATAGCCCGAGAGCATTAGCCACCCTCCCCCTTCCCTAGATGATACAGATATTGATAATTGGAGGAAAGCAGTGAAGTATTTCCAAACGGACGAACATAGAGTTGCTTCAGAAAAAAAAAAAAGCACAAAAGTCTTTGAAATGAAAACAATCGTGAACCATGGGGGTTGAGTCTGTATGGTAATTGTTTCTATAAGAAGGTAACATACGATACATGTAATTATTTATTTAAAATATAATCTATTTTTTAATGTTAAACAGAACCTTGAGATAATGGAAACGTTTTGTAAGGCTCATACTGACAGGAATGGTGTATTTGTTAGTTTCAAGGCGGAACAACAATATGTAAGTATTAAATTATAATTTTATTATAAAATTATGTGTTTATTAATACTTAATAGTTAATCACTTTTGGAAAACACATAATCGGTTAGTGGAAGAGGTCTTAGAACAAAATCGAGGGCCAGAAGGGGAAAGAGAGCTAACACCCACTCAAGAAAGAGCTACTTTCGAGAAAGTATTAGGAGAACGATGTGGCCATATCAGAGGCATCGGGTGGGAACTTTCTGCTATCCTTCCGATTTCACAGACATTGCAACCACCACCATAACCATCACAGGTAAAACAAGATTATTTAATTTCAGTAAATGCATGTTGAGTTGTTATTTTTAGTTTGTGGTGATTATTCGCTAAAAGCTATGGTAATTGGTTTTTTATCCTAAGTGCAAGAAAAAGCAATGTACTTTGTTTTTGTGTCTTAGTTTATAAATAGCAATATACTTTGGCATCATTAAATGCATGTTCATTTGGTAATTTTAGTTTGTGGTGATTATTTGCTAAAAGCTTTGGTAATTGGGTATTTGTCCTAAGTGCAATAACTAGCAATGTACTTTGGTTTTTTGTCATAGTTTAAAAATAGCAATGTACTTTGCTATCAATAAATGCATGTTGATTTGATAAATGTGTTTTGTGTCCCGAGTACAAGAGATAGCAATGTACTTTTGGTATTTCTTGTATTTTAAGTGCAAAATATAGCAATGTACTTTGGTATATCTTGTATTTTTGTTTGTGGTGATTATTTGCTAAAAGCTTAGGTAATTGGTTTTTTGTTCCAAGTGCAAGAAATAACAATATTCATAGGTTTTTTTGTCATAGTTAAAAAAAATAGCCATGTACATTGGTATCATTAAATGCATGTTGATTTGGTAATTTTGGTTTGTGGTGATTATTTGCTAAAAGCTTTGGTAATTGAGTTTTTGTTCCAAGTGAAATGAATAGTAATGTACTTTGGTTTTTTTGTCTTAGTTAGCAATGTACTTTGGCATCGATAAATACATGTTGATTTGATAATTGTGCTTTTGTCCCAGGCGCAAGAAATAACAATGCGGTTTTGTTATTTCTTGTATTTAAGTGCAAGAAATAACAATGTATTTTGGTAGTCTTTGTTTATGTTTGATAACTTAACTTATAATTTTATCTATGTTGTTATTTATTATGTAGTTGAAAAATCTTCGGGCAATGCTCAACAACTCGGCATGCAGGGATGAGCTTTATGTGTTTTCTCCAATCAAGGAAAGATCAAGGAGGAAAATATGGGAACGAATATGATGGTTTGTCAGATAATTAATTTGTGTTTAGGATGATATACTTGTCGCCGACACTATTGATGGCAAAAAGCCCCATACCCGATGGGGAACCCGAAACGCGCATTCGTTTTGACTGGAGTATCCCCAAGTTGACCGGAGATGGGGAATCTCCGAATAAAATAGTAGGGATCAGGATAACCCTAATCATCGAAACTGGACACCCCCCTGAGGATACATATTGATATTTAAAAATAATACAAAACATATATTTATACTAAAATTTATAATACATAAAATTTGATTTAGATAGCCTAATTCATTAGTAATTACTTGGTTGAAATTATACTCTTTCTTTTTCTTTTATATAACTTAAATTCATGTATAATTCATTTTTTCCATTTGATTTATCTATTTTAACTCAAATATCACCCTGATAATTTTTTTTATACTTTATTTTCATATATTTATTTAAATTTGTTAGAAAATTGTTTATATTTTTTATGCAATCTAAGGATATTTTTAGATTTTAGAAAATCTTAAAACTTACACTAAAAAAACTTGAAATTTAGAGTTTTTTTTATGAAAAAATTTTCTTATTAAAAAAGGAAAAGAAATCATTGATTCCCTATTGGGGATCTCCAATCCCTATTAGGGGTGGGGATGAAGGTTTATTTATATTCTACGATGGGGATGGGGATAAGCATAGGGATGAAAATTGGAATGAGAATTTGAGGATGAAGATGGGGATTAGGGACCCCTGTATTTCCCGTCCCCATTGTCATCTGTATGTGACACTTTGGTACTTGTTTGAATTGGAGAACTTTAGTTATTTATTTCGGTATGAAGTTAATTATAACAATATTTGGTATCTAATCGGATGTTATTATGTAATTTTTTTTTGCATTTAATGTCGTTATGTATCGGTTTTTTATATATCCAAAATAGTTGATTAAAAAAATTAAAAAATGACAAATGTTATTAACAGTGATAGGAACTATTACCGACAACATAGCATTAACGTCGACACGAAGTATTACCGACGACATGAGCATTATCCGCAACAATTGTTTTTACCGACGATACGATAGTAACAACGACTTTTTACCGGCGACGTATCGTCGTTGTTACCTTTAACGCCGATTTTCTTAATCTTTACGGGCAAGCTTTGTCACCACTAATTAACTTTTTTTTCTTGTAGTGCCCAATGCAATGTCACACTTATTCTCTTTTTTGAAAATTAAGCAGGAATCTGTCACAAGATCTTTAACCAGCAAATAAATACCAAGAATAAAATAGAAACTGTTGTACAAAAAAAAAAAAAAAGGAACAGATGCTCGTCTCTTGGATTCCTTAATCTCTATTTATTTGTTTGCATCTTTAATACTTTAATATTCACGCATGGAATCACTCTTAATGTGAGAATCTGTAGCTTTGCAAGATGCACGAAAATGGACATTGGAAATCACCTCGTTTTTCTTTTATTTTTTGAGAGAGAAGATAAATATTTATATAAATGTTGTTTGATTATACGTTTCTTCCGAACCATAAAAATAAAACTAAAATCCAAGTGACAATAGTACATTTCATGTACTATATATTAAGGTCCGGTTTAACTGGGTTGCTAAGTAAATTGTTGTTATTTTTTCGGAGAAGGATCCAATCTGGGTTTATTGGGTGTTATGGAATCCTGTTCTGTTATATGTCACTGTCCGGTACACCAATTATGTCACTGTCCGGTGCACCAATTACCAAACCGCCTGTGAAAAAGAAAAAAAATCATATATCATCCTTAATTGTAATAACATATTCCAACTCAATTTTTATTTGATAAATCTTATTGTAATTATCACATATAATTTTAAAAATTTTATTTTAAGAAACATACTTTTTGAAATAATATTTAATGGCGGATAGTAAAAGCTAAATTCAAATATATATATATATATATATATATATATATATATATATATATATATATATATATATATATATATATATATATATATATTGACCAATATACTACATACAAACCTAATCAACAAATTAAGATTAATTAATTAATTAATTAGTTATTATTTAAGAAGTGTAGTGGTAATCACTTCCTATAGAACACTATGAAATAAAGTTGGTCAATTTTTTTAGTCTCGTAAACTTTAAACTTTTAAATGACTTTTTAAAAAAATAAATACGTTATATATATATATATATATATATATATATATATATATATATATATATAATATATATATATATATATATATATATATATATATATATATATATATATATATATATATATATATACACTATATTTGTGGAGCACTACGCCCATCATTTATATTATTCATAGTACTCTACACTTTTTTTTCAAACCAGATTTAAACCCTCAACCTTTACTAAAGAGATCTATCGTCTTCTCCTTATACCTTATATAAATAACATTGTGAAACCATTTATAAACACATAAAGTGTTTTTTGATAACTAATATACCTTTATGAAAAGTAAACTTCTATTTGGTGTTTATACAGCATGCATTAGCCTGACAATATTCTGACGAAGTCCGCAGTAGATGCTCTTAATTAGTGCAAATTAAAGTTGCTACCCACATCATTCGTAGGCATTCATCCTTCCCTGACCCTTATATAAACACCCATACATGATAATACCTTACATAAGTTGTGATATTTAGCGCTACAACAGAGAGCTTTCTGAGAACATAAATGGAATTTAGAAAGTGTTATCTTGATCTGGTGTTGGTACCCTTATCGTTTTTGATAACTATCGTTTATCACCTGTGGTTATGGCATAATGTTCGAAATCGACCACTTTCAACTGTTATCGGTGTTAATGCTCATGGACGCCGCTTATGGGTATCCACCATTATGAAGGTATGTTTGTACCCACAGTATATTTGTGTTGATCTTAGATTTTTCGACACGTATATTTCACATTTGTTTATAAATTAAAGTTAACGAATCAGCATACTTTAAAAAGGTTAAACCAATATGATGATTACAACTTTTCCAATTCACCTGGCTGATTATGGCAATAACACACTGCAGGATTAACTTCTAAATTATCTTAATGTGTGCGTGTCAATGGTTTTGGAAGTAAAGCAAAGGATTATATCGTCGCGTATTATGACTATTTAAAAGTTATTTGCTGGATATATTTATATAAACTGTCAAAACAAAATTATGACATAGAAATTCATAATACGTGATTCAATTCTTTTTTACGTCTTAGAAAAGACCTGCAAACTAGTAAATTCACATCCAAAAAATAAAAAAAATTGGTCCTCGGTGCTAATCTTGGTAGAAAGTTGAAAAAGAGAGATACGAAAGCAACTTCAAGTGGAATGTTGAGAGTGCCAAAATGAATAGCACACGAAACTGTATATGTTTTTCATGTAAAGCCAAATTTGTGAATTTGTGAATTTATGATTTTATTATATTTATAATGAGCACCAATAATAAATTATTATTTTTCCAAAATCTATTTTTTGTGACAGCATATATGTATTGTGCATGCATGTAGATATTTTGTGTGTTCTGAATGGAATAACACTACAATTACGTATTATAATATTATTTTATTTTCCTGTTATTGCATGATTCTTTTCTCAAAAAGATAAAAATTATAGTCGTAATAAGTAAATTTGCCAAACTTTTGTTTTATTTGTGCGAATTTATTACGTAGTATTTTGCACGGTTGTGCAAAATTTTAGCTTGGGGTTTGACCAAAAACTACATTTTAATAAAAGGAATTGATTCGTATAAAATAGTTTTTTTATCATACGCAGTAATTTATGCATTATAAAGTTGTACAATATAACACTTTAAAACACAAATTGTTGTGCACGGATAAAAAAATATTGTTTACGAATTAGCTCCTTTTTGTAAATTGTGCTTGGATTTTAGATATAAGTTTTAGATTGTCTAATTAATGACACAAATATGTTTTACTCAATGGTTTATGAGGAAAATATGAAATTAACGTTTTCTCCTAAGAAACAATTACTTTCTTAATGTTATGACATGAAATATGATCAATATACATGTACGTATATTATCACCCTTCTGAACCTTCTGTCTTATGTTTTGTAGGATAATGACAAGAAAAACATCTTAGCTGTTCAAACAATCAGAAACACAATCATGGGATCAACCTTAATGGCCACCACGTCAATACTACTGTGTTCTGGCTTAGCAGCAGTTATCAGTAGTACTTATAGTGTCAAAAAGCCACTTAATGACACTATATATGGGGCACATGGAGAATTCATGGTGGCATTGAAGTACGTAACGATGCTGGTTCTCTTTCTCTTCTCTTTCATGTGTCATTCTCTATCAATTAGATTCATTAGCCAAGTGAACTATTTGATCAACTGCCCACAAGATTCAACAATTGTGACTTCTACATATGTGTCGGAGCTTTTGGAGAAAAGTTTCACTCTAAATGCAGCCGGAAATAGGATTTTTTATTCAGCGATCCCAATTGTGCTTTGGATTTTTGGTCCTGTGCTTGTGTTTTTATGTTCGTTGAGCATGGTGCCTATGTTATATAACCTTGACATATTGTTTGGAAAGTCGAAGAAAGGAAGGAATGGTGAGATACCAAATGAGGTGTAGCATGTGCTCGCCTAAATTGTAATTTTGTTGGCATAATTTATTGATATTATTTATGAAACCAAGTATACGCGTATAGTTTCATGAGTTATAGATGGATTTGTAATTATAACATTTGTATGGAAGAATCATCACAACAGATGATAAACTTGACCTCATAAATAAATCATTACACCAAAAGAATTACTCTATCTATGTTATACTAAGCAATAAACACACACAAGGCAAAGTACTCATTGAAGATCATGCTTGACTACACAAACATGCATGGGTATTTATACCCGAGTAGAAAGGATCGACATGGGTAATAGCAAGGTTATCAAGATCGAGATCCTACCTAAGATCGTTTTTGGGTTTGCAAGATCGGAATCGTAAGATCGGGATCGAGATCCTAAGATCCCACAAAATAGAATATAGTTTTAATTTATAATATTTAATCATGAAAGATATTTCAAATATTTAATTTTTCGCTCAAAAGTTATAAATACTTCAAAATACTAGTTATAAGTCACAATAAAAAATGATAAATGGTGGATTGGTAAATGGTAAAAGACATAAAGTGGTAAAAAAAATTCATTTGCAAAACAAAAAAAATAAAAAAAAATCAAAGGATGGTAGGATCGGATCGGATCTCGATCCTACGATCCTACTTGCGATTCTACCCCAAATACGATCCTTTTACGATCCGGATCGTTTTTCATACCTAGGATCGTAGGATCGTACGATCCTACGATCAGGATCGCGATTTTGACAACCATGGGTAATAGTATAATGCAATTTTAATTATACCTTTTAATTTTGGTGAAAAATACTTTTAGCCCTAGCTTCTAAAAGTCGTTTTCATCTTTATTGAGAAAAGTATATGTCTACTACAATCAAAATATTAACTCTTTTATAGGATAATAGCGTTTACCAATGCTCTTTCTCTATAGAAGATCATACGGAGCTATGACACATAAAATGTTCTATCACACATTAGCATAGTTTCACAAGGTCAAATTTTGGATGTGTGCGACAGTACTCAATAATCTAGCTCAAGTGTCGAGTAAGCCTGAAAATAGGGACAAATGTAAGATTAATTGCCCTTATATAAGCCTTACATGGAATGCCAAAATACTTGAAAATAACAGGACACAATCGAGAAAGGAAACCAAAGGACACCCACATGGAAATTAAGGGTCATATGTAGAGTTATCTAAGTGTTTGGTGGACATGGACCCTTAAACCTGGCCATGTATATTGGGTTGTAACAGCCTCCACACTTGATTTCATGACGTCCTCAGCACTATTAATCTTCGATTCCATCCTTCTAGTTTTGGGTATTGTAGGAGTCTTCATGGTATCGTTCTCTCGACATTGTTTCTTTGATGGATTTGTAATTACAATCACTAGTACAAAACTGAGCTTAATTCGCATGTCACAACCAAAAAATTCTATGCTTTTGTAAACATTAACAAGGACAAAATTGTAACCAAAACATGAAATCATGCATGATGTTTATTAAGTGACAACAAAATTCCATCAAAAACTCTATACAAACACTTCAAATGATCAACGAAAGATTGGAAACTCTACAAATTTCCTGTTTAAGTCCAATATGGACTAGGAGTTCCTTATTGAACCTAATGGACCAATAAGTTTTCAATTTGACTAGTTTGGGCTTAGAACCCTTAATTGGGCTCTAATTGAACCCACCACCATGAGATTTAACATTTTGGGCCATATTGGGCCTAAAATGGAATAAACTACTCTAATGAGATTTATTGGGCCATAACTAACCTAATTAGCTTTAATGGTCCATAAAGCATATTCTTAGATGATTTTTGGGCCGTTAACTATTTACAAAGTCCAATGGGCCGAAAAATAATATTGGGCTTATGAAAGTTCAATCAATTCAAAAGTTTGGACCCAACATCACTCTCTTCATATCTCTAGGCCCATTTCGGCCCAAGTAAAAAAAATGAGATTAATGGGAGATTAGGGGGGGTGTGACACCTCAAAATTGTATGTAGGATAACAATGCACCATTCTCACATCCCCATGCATCTATCACCTCACACTCTCTCTTCTTCCCTCTTCTTTTCTACCCTCGGCCGAACACACACACCTTCACTACCTTCAACTTTCATTTCAAACTCTCTCAAACCTTTTAAGAACATCTTCTTACCTCCCTCAAAATCTTGAAAATTAGTGTGGCTTCAACAAGATATTTCACTTATATCACCATCATTGGTAAGTTATTGTTATATATAAGTATAGATTTCCATTCTTAAGGTAAGAACAACTTCTTATATGACTTCTTTTGGTGATCATACTTTCTAGAAACCCCCTAAGTTCGAAAGTTATCATCAAGAAAGTGTCTAAGGCCGAAAATCACACCATCATTTTCATATTTCCTTCAAAATCGAAACCACAAACCCAAGGTGAGTTCATACCCCTTGTTTTCGGTTTTTACTTGTTTTTTGGGGGAGAATACAAGTGTTATGTGTTCATCTATGTATGTTTGCATGTTATATGTGATTTCTTTGATTTATGTTGTGAAAATTGTGTTAATACATGTTATATCACGAGATCGATAGCCAAAGTGTGAAAGATTCATAAACAAAAACATAATAAGACAACATACTTCAAAGATCTAGGAGTCTTTAGGCTTAAGAAGTGAAAACAAAGCCAAAAATCTTTATAAGTGTCATTTTTGCAAAAATAACAAATATTTGGGTAAAATATGATATTTTCGGTTTTATAAGGATAAAATAGTATTATTTACATAAAAATCTGACTTTTATGAAAATAACACTTCTCAAGGGGCTAAAAACACAAATTATAGGTTATTGGACTTACATTTGGGCCTCATGGGTTTTTGGGCCTAAAATTATATAAATGAAAACTTTTGAGGTTCAAATTGTAAATCCACATAAAGTATGCCTCTAAAACACAAACAAACTATTTCAAGGGCTGAAAACGATCTTTATTGCAAGAGTTGGACTAAAATGCAAAGTTGTTGGAATTTGGATCAAAAATGTAAAAGTTACGAAATTTGGGCCAAAAGTGTGAACTTTTTACAAATAAGGGCTGGAAATATCAAATAATATATTTTTGGGCTAAAAATGTAATATAAATTATGTTTGGGCCGAAAATACCAAGAAAAGTGATTGAAGGACCAAAAATGTTATTTTTCATCAAAAAGGACTAAAAATGTCAATTTTATTAAGAAATGGCTAAAAATGTAACTTTATATGAAAATGATCTGAAATGGTCAAATAAATATTTTGGGGTCAAATATGTTAACATTAAAACAATTGTGCCAAAGATATTAAGTTTATATATATAGGACATAGATCCGGTAAGAAATTTTCTTTGGTAGAAAATTTTTTGAAAAACATGTCGATGATTCATTTATATAATGATTTTGTTGTTATTCACTAAAATTGTCATAAAAGTCGATTTTTTTCTTAATTTACTTAAAAATGAATCATATAGATGTTTTTTTGAGAATTTTTTCTTGTGAATCATCTTACAAATGAATCATCTAGTGATTCAATTTTTTTGTTCGTCAAAAAAATATGTAGAAAAAACTTCTTACCTTCCTACCAAAAAAAATTTCTTACCGAATCTATATTCTATATATATATATATATATATATATATATATATATATATATATATATAAATTAAAAGTGCTAGTCTTACCGTTAGTAGGCCTCATTCACGAAGCCGGTCTATAAGGTGGGTATAAGGTTGCTACCTATAAAATGGCGCTTAATGGGTGTACACTCACACCCACTACTTGCTTGACTGGTGGAAGGTAGTTAGCCGAACGGGTAAGATAGGGCAACTCTATCTCCTCATTAAAAGTATAATGTTAAAATACAAAGTAACTACATGTTTTTGAAATTCTCAATCCTAGTTACTTTAGGAAAAGTGAATTGATGCAATTCCATGAAATTACACTTTGCACCCTTACTAAGAAGTTAGTGGAGCGTGTGTGGTTAACCGACACAATAATTAGTTCTAAGAAAAGGCGGCAAAGGGTGATTCATTGTTTATCATAGTTCGGTGGATCGTGTGTGGTTTACCGGCACATCGAATAGGTGATTGTAACAATGAAGGCACCGTGTAGATTTGCATGGTTATTCACACCCACTTTGTGATCCTTGGCATCCCAGTCACAAACGAGAGGGGAATATCGAGATTTAAACATGCCATTGAAAGGTTCAATGAATCTCCAAGAAAAATCTAGGAATTCTCAATACATTTTAAACCTAAGCCTATGTTTTCATGATGAAGAATTAGTGAATCGTCATTCGCTTACCTCCAAATTATTTGCGTGTTGGATTACGGAATCCCTTTTCTAATATGTGGATAATGTTGTTGGGTCTTAGCCCTAATTTTTCATTTTGGGTGTTTAATTCGGGATTCAATTCTAATCAACCTTGTCCTTTCTATTTGTAGATGCCGAACACAAACAACGCTGTTGCTAACTCATTCACGTTAATGAGTCTTTGCCAAAAGGTGACTTTTGATGGAACGAACTTTAGCGAATGGATAAGATACATTCGCACTATTGCGCGCTACGAGGACAAAGAGTATGTCCTCGACGAAAAGCTCGAGAAGATCAATCTAGAAGTCGCCACTCCCACTGAAATGGCTGTCTTTGAAACCCACGAACGTGATGCAACGAAAGTACATTGCATCATGATAGCCACCATGAACCAAGAATTCCAAAAGTCCTATGAGGACATGTATCCGTATGAAATGCATCAAGACTTGATGGAGAGGTATCATCAAAGCGCGAGGCAAGAGCGTTATGAGATCATTACGAATATGATCACCGCTAAGATGGGAAGTGGAGAATCTCTAACCATGCACTTGCAAAAGATGCAGAGACATGTCGATCGTCTTCGCAAGTTAAATGTTAACTTTGGGGAGGATTTGGCTATTGACATTGTTCTTCACTCCTTGCCTTCATGCTACAACCAATTTAGGATGACCTACCATATGAA